TGAATAATGGAAGACAGGTATTCAGAAGCAGCTGGCGGGGCGGGATGCGGGGGATCACATTTTGGAGACTTATGAGCTACAGGGAAAGGAAGTTGAAATACTTTTTCAGAAGCATCATTGTGGTGTGTGAAGCCAGACTATCCAGGTAACCCCGGGTATGGCCCAGATGTCCAATCTACGCAGCTGCAAGTCACCCAACTCACGCCATTATCTCGAGTATCCAAATGCTCACTAATCCCTATTGATTCTCCGTCCTACAGGTATATCAGAGTCCACGTTCCCCAGGACCTGCACCTTATTCCAGGCCCTCAGGATCATTTACTTGGTGCCATGAAATAAGTGTTTGTGTTATCCTAAAATTCACATGTTCAAACCCTGATCTTCAGTGTGGTAGGATTTAGAGATGGAGCTGTGGGGAGGCAGAACCCTCGTGACAGGATGAGACAAGAAAGCTCTCTCTTCTTTCCTCCTCCTCCTCCCTCTTTTTCTCACTCTCTCTCCCCACCCTCCCTACCGCGTGACCACACAGCGAAAGGCAGTTGTCTGCACACCAGAACCTGACTATGCCATACCTTGATCTTGGACTTTAGCCTCCAGAACTTTGAGATATAAATGTCTGCTACGGAAGCCCCAGGCCTTGGTGTCTGTTAGAGCAGCTCATGGTGACTAAGGTACCCGGCCTCTTGCCACATCCTCGTCCACAGACTTCCCGTCCCTGGTCTCTTTGCCCTTCAGTGTAAGCCTGACACCACGGGGAAGATGGCCTTCCTAAAAACCATTTCTAAAATGGCATAACACAAGGGCCCCTTTCTGACCTGGCCATGTCTATGTCACCTCCTACCCATACCAAACCATTTGGACATTCTCTGAAAATGTCAGGTTTTTCAAGACTCCTGAGCATTTGATACACGCTGTTCCTTTTGACTAAAAGGGCTCCCTCTTTCCTGCTCAGAAAAATCATATTCATTCTGCAAAACCTCTCTATAAAACAGCCTCCTCCTGATTCTTCCGTCGGTTAATAATTTCCTCCTCTGTGTTAACTTTACATGCTTTTAAAACGCTTTATTGCCTCTGTTTGTTTGCATTGGATCACAGCCTGGTCACTTCTCCATACACAACGTGAGCTCCGGAGAACAGGAAATGTGTCCTCTTCACCTTTGGCTCCCCAGGCCCAAGCCCTGGGTCTGGTTCAGAGTACATGCTCAGTAAACGCTTTTCAATCAGATGTGAAGTTAATATAATAGACACTAGCTAAGGTAGAATCTGGGTCTAATTCCCAGGCTTAATACTACGTGCTCCAGTGTAATAATAATCATCATAATAGATAGAAAGATACAGAAAATTATAAAGAAAGAATATGGAGAAGAAAAATGCTATGGATCCAGCAGGACAGAATTCTTTAATCATATTTAATAATAGTTTTTAAGAACGCATTCTGGGCCAGACGCTGTGCTAGATGCTTTCAATATACTATCTCACTTAATATCAAAACCCCTTAAAGAAGAAATACTATCATTATTCACATTTCGAAGATGAATAAATTGAGACACATAGGAATTAAGCATCTAGCCCAAGGCCAGATAGCTAGCACGAGTGGAGCCAGGATCTGAATGCAGGCACTCTGAAACAGAACCAATACAAAAGCTGCTCTATGGTACAAGGACAAGCTCAGATATTAGGACCAAAGTGAAAGACACAGAGAGCAATCAGGACAACACCAAGGCAAGAGAGCTGACGGAACGGGAGCGTGAGGACATGCATTAAGCTCCCTGCCCTCGGTAATTTAGAAATAGCACGAGTATGTGTTCGTAGGAGTGGTATGGTAACTACATGTTTTTAAATAGAAACCATACTTGATTAACTATGTGCTCGGGCTGTACTTAGATCTCAACGTTTGACAATGGGACAATAAATACCTCATTATGATAAATATAATTACTAGGCAAGGAAAACAAAATGAGTCAGCATTAGTAGTTTAAAAAAATGCACCATGACGCCGGAAGGAAGTGCCCTAAGAACAAGTGAAGTGGAAATCTAAGCGGCTACTTTTCACCGTTCACTTTTCCCCTTTCGCTAAATTCTAAAGTGTCTCTATCAATTGGCAATGTGTTTATTACAAGTCTGTCGGAGATGGCCTGCCCTGTGGTATAGGATGTAGGGATATTTAAATGGGAGAGGGAAGACTGAGTAGAGGAAAGAAAGAGAAAAAAAAAATTCCTTTGATTCCCTAGAGCTACACTAGCAATTCGATTCTATTCCAAAAACGTGTCTTAAACTTCTGACTTGCAGCCTGAACAGAGCTCAGCGACGGGGATGCCAGTGGGAACATCACGGTCTGTCCTCTTGCTGGGAGGCGGTGCTATCTAAAGTCAGACCTTAACAAAGCTTTCTTGCCAGGCGAAGACCAGAGGAAAGAATCTTAGCAGAGGAGACAGAACAGTGATGCGAGAAAGGCCACGGTCTGTCGAAGGTACTGGGACTAAGGTGGCCGCAGTAGGAACAACTAAAGTGGAAGGACAGAAAAGATATCCGTGAGGGAGAAACAACAGGAGGTGGGCATGGTGATGTGTCGGGCCTGAGGATGACGGCAAAGTGACAGAGTGCCTAGGCACAGACTTGCAGAACTGGGACGGAAATGGAGCCCATCCTGAAAAGGAAAGATGCCAAGGGAAGCGCACGTTTCCAGATAAAAGGAGTCTTCAGCTTAGGATATCCTGGTCTTTTGGTGTCTGTGGGACAGACTCAAGAATGCGTCTTCTAGGCTTTTGGACAGCTGGGTCTGTAATTCAGGAGAGAGACGGGACCTGGAGATTTCCATCAGGGATTCCCCACTACAATATGATGAGAGTCAAAGCAGCAGCCAAGATCGTGCAGCGAGAAAGCATTGAGAAGAGAATCTGGGAACAGAATCCTGAAGAAAACCAACAATGAAAGGACAAGCTGGAGGAAACGAGCCCATAAAACACAGTCAGAAGAATAGACAGGGAAGCTGAAGGGAAAGCAGCACAGTGTGATACAATGGAAGGTGAAAAAAAGAACTTATCTCAATAAAGAAGAAGTTGTCAGCTGTGCCACGTGCTTCTGAGAAGCCAAGAAAGGTACGAACCCCAAAGCATCCGTCAGATTCAATACCAATGGACTGTTTGTCCCTTTGGTGAGAGTTATTCATTGGAGTGATAGGTTGCAGGAGTAGCCTGTGGTGGGTTGAGATAAAATGTGTATTGACGATTCTTTTAAGATGGGAGTGCATCTCAAAGAAGACAGACAGGGGATATTTTTAAGACGTGAGAAACTTGAGAGTGTTTATATGCAACTGGGAAGGAGCTAGTAGAACAGGTAGGATTCTAAATGAAGGCGAAGAGAAGGGGTAATGGAAGTGTGAAGTCCTCAAGAAGATACAAGAAGAAGGCATTCAGAGCACGGGGGGATAGACTGGTCTTCGCCTGGAATGGATCATAAAAAGACCTGTGAAAAGAAGGGAGTTCAGAAGCAATAAGAAGAGCAAAGAAGTTACATTTGTAGAGCCTAACCCAGGATTTTCATCATCAATCGATCAATAGCCAAATGAGGAATTCACCGTCTGAGAGCAGAGAGCCTCCTGTTCCCTCGGGTTTCTGTTCTATTCGCACAGCAGACTGGGACACGGGAAGTTGAAGAACAGAAAGAGAGGAAAATCCCCAGCTCTGCCACACAGCTGTATCATGACTTATAAAAACCACTTGACTTCACACACCTTTGAATGCAAACAGATAAACTTACCAGCTTAGTATGAATAAGCCTAAAATGAAGTTCATTAAAGATGGACCACAGAATGCCTTCGGAATGTAATTCCAAGTATTTATTAGGTGCCCACTCTTCCAGGGCTGTCACTGTACCCAAAGGAATAAGACTGTCCTACACTTGAGTAGTGCTTGACCAGTGATTACTATGTCACATCTAGACAGTCAACGTGCAGGTTCATAGAGCCCATGCTGAGATAACGTTTCACTGAATCTGGGACAGAGCCTGTCTAGTATCTGTATTTCTACCAGGGTCATTGATGATACCAGACCATTTGGAAACCCAATACTCTATAACACAGAGCAAACCTTCTCAGACATCATCTAATTTAATGCACATGCTAGGTGTCGGAGCTCTCGAATTGGTAAAAGCTGAAACAAAAACAAGCGCTAACATCTCAGTAAACGAAAGTGTATACTGTTCATGTGTGCCTTAGGTCAGATAAGATGTAACTACTGAGAGCACACTATGCACCAAACCCCCTTCTTGGCAAAGGGACTATACACATTTGCAGTGTATTTAAGGTTTTCCTCAAATATATCTTAGTCTATTATGAAAGAAAACGAAAAGTAGGATTTCATTTTTTTTTTTTCCACAAGGATGGGGCGCATGGCATACGGAATGCAGTCAGCAGTAATGTAATGGCTAGGTGGAGAGCCAGAGGGGTGATAGAGTAATTGGGGCGACTGTTTCATAAACTATGTAAATATCTAACCAATGTACTGTATACTTGAAACTAATAATGTAATAAAATAAAATACTAAAAAAAGAAAGGAAAGAAGGAAGGGAGGGAGGGAAGAAAATCAACCAACGATGCCTGTTCAGTTTGGTAAGCGTTTGGGTTTTCTTCTCCACGACCCCCCCACTCCCCCACCACCCCCACTCTCCCGGACTTCATTGCTGGAGTTCATACTCCCTGAACACAGAACGCGGGCAGGCGGTGCCCTCAGTTACAATCGGCTTGGAGGAGGAGCTGGGGGTAGTGGTTGGAAGCGCGCAGCGACACCTTGCAGAAGCGCCGCGCCCCTCGCGCGCTCCCCGCCACGTTCACACCTCCGCTCGCAGGGTAGGCGCGCGCCCTGGTGCGCGCGGGGACAGGGCGGGGAGGGGTGGCGCGCTCTGGAGACCCGCCCCTACTCCCCTCCCCCTCCAGCGGAGATCGACAGGGCCTGGGCACCCGCCCCAACCAATGAGCGCGTCCCGGGGCGGGCCCTGGACCCAATCGCTCCGGCTACTTAGAGTCGTCGCCTCCGCTGTGGGAAACCAGAACCGAGTCGGGACTGCCCAGGTGGACCAGGCGCCCCAGCCAGCGGCGACCGGCCGACGCACCGCTTCCGCGCCGCGCACCGCACGGTTCCGCACGGGACAGAGTGGAGCTGCAGCCCCACGCGCCGCCCAGGACCCTCTCGCCACCACCGCCTCCGCAGCACCCATGGGGAACAGGAGACTTTAAAGGAGTTTGGGGTTTCGGGAGCAGGGAAATCACGGGTACGGAAAGGCGGCTGTCTTTGCCTTGGAAACGTTTTCTTCTTCGACCGTTTGGACCCTGTGCCGGGTAGGGCGTAGGGGGGCGTTTTGGCTGAAAGTGGACCTTCCTACACAATCCACACGCACACCGCACACGTACACAGCGCCGGCTTCCCCCTTCCCTCCCTCGCCTCTTTGTTAGGTTATTTTAGACAGAGCAGCCTCGCCCTGGCGCAGCCGGATCGGCTCTGCTGGGGAGAAGGCAGGAGAAATAAGGGCAGAGTGCACCTGCCTGTGTGGCCAGGTGTGCCCGGGCGCTTGGGCGTAGGTGCATCGGCGTGCGTTCGAGTGGGGGGCTGGAACTGCGTACGAATGTGGGGGTCTGAGTGTGTCATCGAGAAGGTCTGTCGTGTGTGTGTGGGTGTGTGTGTGTGTGTCACTATCACACCAGTGTACGAGCAATGTCTGGACTCCAAGTGTGCAACATTTTGCTGGTGTCAGATGAGCGCCTGCGAATGTGTCCGGTTGTCATTGTGCGAGGCGCTGTCAGGAGAGGAGCGGGACCTCATGCAAAACCGAGGGGTGGGTTGAGAGCGCAGGGACAGAGATGAGAGCGCCGCTTGCTCCGAGCTCTGAAGACTTAGGCGCCCCCTCTCCCTTCCAGCTGACCCCTCCGTCCTTTCCTGAGTACACCTCCCACGCTGTCACAACCCGCGCTGTCCCACCCACTGGGACCCCACGCCCTCCAGGCCTCCTGCCTTTTCTCTCTTGTGGGAGTTGGACCGGGTTCCCTGACGGAGTCCGCGGCTGTGTTGTGGCGTCCGCGCTCACTCGCTGGTGGCTTCTGTGCCCGTCCCACCCGCAAGGAGGCACGGGAGACTCGGCTGGCCGGGGGACTCCGGGACCGTAGCGTGGGCGAGCGGGCAGGTCCCGTCCCAGGGGCACTACGCGTCCTGCGGAGCGGCAGCTGGATTCTGATCCGCGTCTCTCCCTCTTCTCTGATCCCGCAGGTCCCCGCTTCTGGCCCTCACCTCGCCGCGTCATTGATGGGCAACCAACTGGACCGCATCACCCACCTCAACTACAGCGAGCTGCCCACAGGGGACCCGTCGGGGATCGAGAAGGACGAGCTGAGGGTTGGGGTCGCCTACTTCTTCTCGGATGAGGAGGAGGACCTGGACGAACGCGGCCAACCGGACAAGTTTGGTGTGAAGGCCGCTCCGGGCTGCACTCCCGGCCCGGAGAGCCCCAGCCGCCACCACCACCACCTGCTGCACCAGCTGGTCCTTAACGAAACTCAGTTCTCCGCCTTTCGGGGCCAGGAATGCATCTTTTCCAAAGTGAGCGGCGGCCCTCAGGGCGCCGACCTGAGCGTCTGTGCGGTCACCGCGCTGCCCGCTCTCTGCGAGCCGGGCGATCTGCTAGAGCTGCTGTGGCTGCAGCCTGCGCCGGAGCCGCCCGCGCCTGCCCCGCACTGGGCGGTCTACGTGGGCGGCGGGCAGATCATCCACCTGCACCAAGGCGAGATCCGCCAGGACAGCCTGTATGAGGCGGGCGCGGCCAACGTGGGCCGGGTGGTGAATAGCTGGTACCGCTACCGCCCGCTGGTGGCCGAGCTGGTGGTGCAGAACGCCTGTGGCCACCTGGGCCTCAAAAGCGAGGAGATCTGCTGGACGAACTCGGAGAGCTTCGCCGCCTGGTGCCGCTTTGGCAAGCGGGAGTTCAAGGCGGGAGGGGAGGTGCCGGCCGGCACGCAGCCCCCGCAGCAGCAGTACTATCTCAAGGTGCACCTGGGCGAGAACAAGGTGCACACGGCCAGGTTTCACAGCCTGGAAGACCTCATCCGCGAGAAGCGCCGCATCGACGCCAGCGGTCGCCTGCGCGTGCTCCAGGAGCTCGCCGACCTGGTGGACGACAAGGAGTAGCCTGGGGGTGCTGCCTGCCCCTCCTGTATCCCCGCGTCCCGCCCCCTTCCCAGCCGGCGATTCACCACCCCCGCCTCCCTCGCACGTCCTCCGCGAGCCAGTGCCAGGCTGCACCCTCGCACCCCTCCAGCAAGTGGCAGGAAGTCTCAAGAACTGGCTCGGGGACTGGAAGGGCAACCGTGCGAGCGAGCCCGGCCGAGACGCCCAGCGGGGGCGATGGTGTTGAGAAACGTAGCGTGCTTTCCCCTTGAGTTATGAGGGTGTGGGAGGGGGGTGGAGGAGAAAGGGCTGAGGGGAGCAGGGACTAGACTGCTCCCCGAGGCACTGCTCAGCGACTATCACCCCACCTACTAGAAAGGGACCATCACTGTCCCCAAACGCGCACCCAAAGACCGGTCGGAGGTGAGAATTGAGCTTTTCAGGGCGCAGTTCAGCTCCTGTATGGATGTGTCCCCAGATCGCAGGATTTCCAAGAAATCGAGCCTGTCCCTTATGCACTTGTGAATCATTCCACAAGAGAGCGGGACTCCGGGTTATCCCAAGGCTGCCTGGGACTGTTCCAGCTCTCCAGCCCCAGGTCCCCTGCCGCCGTATCCAGGCTCCGGGCTAAGCTAGATAGTGTTTGCTTCCTGTTCTTTCCACCCAGGGAAGCGAGCGCCACCCCCACCCGTGCTCGCCTGTGAGTCTCCCTCTCTGGCAGGGAAGCCTCTGGTCCGGGGAGGAACATGGCGCAGCTAATTTGGTGAGGAGCTCCGGCCCCGCACCCCCGGCAAGGAGAAGGTTCTCCTGGTATCTGGGAACTCGAATTCGTGGAGGAGGGCGCTTGTCGTTCGTAACCCTAGATGGCTCCGTCCTTGGGCTGCATTTCAAAAATAATCCTATTTTTAAAGGGGTCGGAGGAGAGGGAGGGGGAAGACATGGCAGCATTCCAGAAACCAGCATTATTACAGCACCATAGCCAGTATATTTAGTTTGGCTTTTCCTAGCATAGAAATCTTAGAAGATGGAGAAGTGGAAATAAAGTTTTAGAAATGAGGGAGCAGTTTTCCAACTATGTCAACAAAGCCTATCTGTTGATGTTTTTATTGATCATCTTAGCAACACGCTAATAAAATTTCAAATTGAAATTTTTATTTTCATGGCTTTAATCCATGATAGTTTAAATACTGGGGGCCATTAAGAGTGGATTTAGCTAAGAGCTTAGCTAACATTGCCTTTTCACTCTATTTTTCTCAAATCCTTTGAGAATTGTTTTTGACTACTGTCGTTAATTTTTTTTTTTTTTTACTCAGGATAGTCATTAATTTTTTTTTTTTTTTTTTTTTTTTTGGCTTTAAACAGCAGCCCTAGTAATGGTAGAATTGTTAATTAATGTGTATATTGTACTGAATTTCTGTCAGTTAAGGGGTTTACTGCTTTGGTGGAAATTGCTAGCAGGTTCCATGATGTTTCTTTTCTCTCTGTTGCAAACCATTACCATTCCACATTCGCATTTCTATTTTTCTTCCTCTCTCCTTGATCTCCTTAAAACATGAATCTAGAGTTCCTGGCTTTCCCCCTCCTCTTTAGACAGTCCAAAATTCATTCCTAAACACTAGAAAGGACTTGTAGGATCAGGACAAATGTGTATTTTTTTCAAAAAATTAAGGCAGTTTGAAACCCCTTCCCTAGGCAAGGTTACACCAACTCTTCGCCCTGTGCTGAAGCCCCAGCCTGACTGTTACTTAATTCAGTGTGTTTGACACCTAAGGCATCCACCTCCCTGTCGAGGGACTTTGTCAAATAACAGTGTTTAGCTAATTGTTGCAAGCAATTGCCTATCGACAGCTGTGATTTAGTTGAACAGCAAATATTATGGCCAAAGCCAGTTTCTTGGCATTTCAAAAATAATGCAATAAAAATTAGTCGAGGTTAGCTGAGACTGGAAATGCCTTTTTCATAGTAAGTGATTCATTTCTGTTTTGTGTTTTGGCTTTCATCCTGGATTCGTTCCCTGATCCTGAATCAAAAGGTCAGATCAATGGAATATGAAAACTAGACTATTTTTCTTAAGCCTATTGAGTGATTTATTTTTAAAAATGTTTAAATGCATACCCTTTTCTTTCAGCACCTACAATGGCAAAACTTTTGTAATAACGAACTTACCTTTGCATGTATGGAGAACTGAAAGTCGTTTATTTCCCTAACTTATTCCTCTCTCAAATAACAGATGGCAGATCATAAACCAAAATTCTTTACTGTATCTACAGTCCACAGTCCTCGCCGTGTTCTCCTACTGTACCTTGGCTCTCTGCTGTATTAAACGCCGTCCTAAACACTTGATCCAACAGGACTCCTTCGTGACATTCTGTCTTCTACCTGCCACTCAGAGGATGGGAATGCAGCAAAAGATATGAGTCTGTCTCTGTCACACCTGAAACTAAGATTTATTTCTTCTGATGGCACATAATCTGACTTTTTCTCTTACTAGGAGGGTCACTATAACAGAGGAATGGCTTATCAGCTTTATACTTGCCGAAGCTAGACTGGAGATAAAGATAAGTTTGGCAGCCAGAGTAGCATTCATCACTATATTGGTATATTAAGGATTGGGTCGATAGTACTACTACAAATTTACAATAGTAAAGCACCGGTTACAAAGAAAACTCGAAAGGTTTATAAGATTTCTCATATTCCTGTTGAAATCGTCACTGATTATCTTTTGATCGATATTAATAACAACCAATAGCAGAAAAATTCTAGTCATAGTGTGTCATGGAGAGGATATTAGCAAAACATAATCTAATAGCTTTATCCCCCCCCCCAAAATACATACTTTTAGGGCGTTATGAATGAAGTGAGTGAAACCAAGAAGGTAGAAAAGTCCCCTCTGAAGATGGCGTGGGTACACTTGATTTTTATTATAAGTGAATACAATACCTCTGGATTTGATCAGAGTTATCGAAATTAAGCTAAAAGCCTCCTAACGTTTCATAGAAGTCAGAAATTTAGCTTCTTTGGCTTTAGTTATGCTCAAGAGAACAGAGCTTCACAGTAACTTTTACGGTGCGCCGAGCGTGGCTGACCCGGGCTTGGTCCCAGCAGCCCCCAGTGCAGAGGCATGCTCTTCCTTCTGCAACGGGTCTCTCTCCACTTTCAGGGGGTGATTCTGACATGCAAACTACTAAAAAATGATGAATTGATTTTACTCCAAGGCGTGCTTCGCTACACATTTTATTATTTAAATTAAAAAAAAAAACCTGGGAGGAAGAGAGGAAGCTAGGCATACTTTAAACAAGCCAGCCCTGAAATACTGTTATTCCCGAAGTATATTCCTTTTTTTTTTTTTTTTTAAGAAAAAAATCCTGGAGAAGTTACATGTATTGCATTTATTTTTAAATAAAATTAAAAGTCTATCAATGAGCCAAACATATCTATAGTTCCTTGATATTTAAAAATTTAAATACCTGTCATTTCATGACTATATTTTATTAAAAGAAACTATGTTCACTTATAGTTAGAAAAACACTTGCGCCAGATTAGAACATCAAATGCAGAAGCAGCTGTAAGTTGAGTAATGTCAGGTGATTTTACTAGATTTTTAAATTTTTGATGTTTATCTTCCTCTTTGTATCATGTTTCTATGATGAACACTCTTTTGTCAGAAAAGCATGCTATCAGTGTTTACAAACTAATGAATTATCTGAATAAGTTAGTATATCCCAATGGTCTTCAAGCATTACCTTATTGATTATGTTTTGTGTGTGCTTTCAATATCTATATGAGTTCAAGGTCTTAGTCATCTTAGAGAAGGGTCAGACTTCAGTGAGATTAATACTAATTGCACAAACGTTATAGGACCACCTAATTTCTTTTGACCCAGATGCATATCCTCAAAGTTTTCTGCTTTCTCTTTTTTAAACAAATGTAAGAAATCTAGTTAGGTTTGCCTTACAGAGATGATTCGCCACACGCATAAAGGATCTGCAGGTAAAAAGTACGGGTTTTTTGGTCTCTCAAAACATTAAGAACTGTGTTTAAAAAAATGGTTGTCTAAGACCCAACTCAATGTTTTGTTCACAATTATTAACTATTAACAGTATATAAATACACACACATTCATAAATTTACATATATACACGTACACATGTGTACGTGTTTATATATATAATTTCTACCTACAGCTAGAAATTATGATTTTGTTCAGAACTACATATAGATATAGATCGGCACACGGATACATACTATTTTAAAACAAAATAGAGAATGACTTGAGCTCTGCAAAAACAGGAGGGAAGGTTTTAGGGGCCAAAATAGCGAATGAGTAACTGGGATGGCAAGTTAACTATGCCTAAAACTCAGCATACACAAGTAGAAGAAAATGTGGGGCTTGCAGTTTATTCTATTCTCACTTTTAGACAAACACGTTCCTCGTTTCTCTACAAAGACAGAAGATTCGAAGGAAAGCTGTAAAGATTAGGAAGTAATTGAAAAATAAGACACAAGATGAAGTGGGGAGGTTCTGAGACAATAAACTAATAAGCTTTCCAACAGGGTGTACCTGTTTCCATTCTAACTAATGACAGCGAAGTTCTTATTTTCCTACCGTTTAACGATTTATAAAATTTCCTTGAATCTTAGCTCCTATGTTATAGGTGCACCTCATTTGAACTTGCGATGTAGAGATTTAAGTGTTTGAATGTGTTGGGGAAAAAGGAAAAATCATCTTGTCTGCTCTTGCTGCTGAGGGTGAGTTTTACGATGATGCTTTCCTTGGCCACATCTAGGCAAACGGCTCCCCATGCTGTGAGCTTTATCAATCTCTCTGGCTGACGGCACTAGGCACATAGTAGGTGCTCGATAAGGCTGTCGGATCTCTCCATTGTAAGTGGTTCTCAGTGACACCTGATCACCAGAAAAACCAGAAATCCCACTTGACTGGTCCGTAAAGGGAATCTAAATTTCTCTAACCTGAGATTGGCAGGGTTTTCCCACCGCAGAAGGCTCATGGAAATATAATTTATGAGGCTTAAGGCTAAAGGGAATTCCCTTTGGTTAAAGGGAATTCTGAACATACTGTTTGCTTCTAGAAAAAAATAATCTATCAAAGAATCCCAAGAAAAAAATGTCCTCTTGTCATTTGGTTGGAAAGGGGAAAGCCAATTCACAATACTGAGTATAACTTCTCACAACTTCATCTCTCATTTACCTCAAGAACAGATTTTTCTCACATGAAATCACAAGATTATTTCTTCAGAAGGAAGCTTATTATTGAAGCTCTTGCTTAAAATTTTCTCTAAAAAAAGTAGGGAAAAAACCTACTATAAAATAAGCTTTACTCTCTGGGAAAATTAGATTTGATGGGGTTTGGTCATGGGTGTTTTTTGCTAAATAAAAAATAATTTTTTTACATATAAAAAGATCCAAATAATTGGTAAGCCCATTGACTTTTATGTTAACATGAGTTCTGAACTTAATTTTGTCCAGTGGGGTGAGGCTTGTATTAGGTGTGAATACGGTCAATATCCTAAATTTCAAGCACAAAATAAATGCTTCACAAGCTAGCGTGAGCTACATTCAGTGTCCTTAGGGAATTCTTTCCGTCAGTCTGTGATACAAACATTGATGTTCTACTCACGCCACAAAGGCAAACTTGAAGGTTTCTTTATTTTAAGCATACTGATATTTGCTTTAACAAATAAATTATTCTAAATTCCATCATTTTCCCCTCTAGCCATCCCATAAGATGGCAGCTCTTTGTTCAGTGCTAAGCCCATTGTTTTCAGATTTCAGATTCTAGTGCTAAACCCATTGTTTTCAGATTTCAGATTCTAGTGCTAAGCCCATCGTTTTCAGATTTCAGATTCTCCTGGGGAATGAGCAGATGGGGCAAATCATACTGATGGTGATTTTGAAAAATATTTCCCAGTTCCCAATAGCGCAAGCTTTATCTCCTCTGGGCCCCTCTGCCTTGTGCTTCTCAGGAGCAGTGTCTACCTGGGGTCTGAGCCACAGAGAGGCAAGGCCCAAGGGTAGGGTTGCCTGATTTATCACATAAAAGTACAGGCCACTCAATTACATTTGAAATTCAGATAAACAAGGAATAATCATTTTTAGTATAAGAATATCCCATGTAATACTTGGGATA